CACTTCTGGGCACGTAAATGGGGTAAATGTGGTAAAATGTGGTAAAATTCACCACCCCATATCGCCTCTACCGGAAACCCGTTTTAACCCCCGAAGGACATTGGCAATAGAGCAGGATCGTTCATGTTTATCAAAACAGCCGGCAACTTTCTATCGCAGCGAAAGGTTGGCTAGGACGAGAGTCATTGCTTTCACTGACTATGACAAACCTACTCGAACGGATTTTCACCTAGGAAGTTACCAAACGAATGTTGAAAAATACATCAGCACCATGAAAAAAACCTTACCCACCATCCTCAGCAACGCCGCCTCCCTCCGGCGTCCACCAGAAAAGGGCGGCAAACGAGCGAAGTTTAAATTGTCAGAAGCGATTCCAGACAGCAACACCTGATTAGAATAAAATGCACCTTCTCATATTGCCCCGGTACCCCGTTATGCCCCACCTTCCCCTATTAGTTATAGGTCTGGCAACTATACTTTCATCCTCGTAAAGGAAGTAACCACAGCGAATCCGCACGACTAAATCAGCAGGTCGCCAAAAACTCGGCAGTTACAGGAAATCTCGATCTTGTCCATTCCATGTCGTAGACTATATATTCCGTGCTGCAGGGGAGCACATGACGATAACACAGGACATGGGAGACTGCACTTAGGCACATAACGATAACACAGGTCATTGGAGACTGCAGTGGGGCACATAACGATAACACAAGACATTGGAGACTGCAGTGGGGCACATGACGATAACACAGGACATTGGAGACTGTAATTGGTTACATGACGATAACACAGGACATTGGAGACTGCAGTTGGGCACATGACGATAACACAGGACATTGGAGACTGCAGTTGGGCATATGACGATAACACAGAACATTGGAGACACTTCAGTGGGGGACATGATGATAACTCAGGACGTTGGAGACTGCAGTGAGACACATGACGATAACACAGGACATTGGAGACTGCAGTTGGGCACATGACGATAACGTAGGACATTGGAGATGCTGTAGGGATAAAACAATAACACGGCATGTTGGAAATGCTGTTGGGGATATAGCAATAACAAGGGATGTTGGAGACTGTGATGGGGTATATAACGGTATCACATGATATTTAAGGCTGTTGTGAAACTTGTCACGATAACACACTATATTGGAGACTGCAGTTGGTCACACAACGATAACACAGGACATTGAAGAGTACAGTATCGCACATTACGATGGAGACTGCAATCATGGTGCACATATCGCAATATTGGACATGGTGATTGCGCTGTGGAACAATAGCATGATATGGAGGGGGCTGGCGGCGCTTTCCGTGGTTCTTTTCCCTACTGCTCGGCCGTAGACTCATGCAGCGTCGGTTGGCGGTGTGCCGTGAAACAGGGCTCAGGACGGGTCGAACCGACGCCTAGCCGCGCCTAACTAGGCAGGGTGGGATTTGAGAGGATTTTACTAGACCACTGATCGACGAACTAACTGTAGTCTGATGATGAGATGTTGGTACGAAGTACCACTCCTGTTCCGACCAGTCCAGCATAACTAACACCACCACCTAACGAGCCCTCGCCCTCATATGGTGCTAGCGCCGATTAGACCATGCGCGTGCCACAGCCCAACCGGTCACTTTTACCAGACTTGCGCAACCGTTTGTGACTGTGGGTGGAGAGGCGAGCGGAGGATCTGAGCGTCTCAATGTCATTTCTGGAGTCAAATGATCATCTGCGATTAGCTCGTCGCCGCCTTAGCTCAGAGGCAGAGCACCTGTCTCGTAAACAGGGGGTCGTGAGTTCGATTCTCACAGGCGGCAGGAGTGCGGCGCTCCGGTCGGGGTCGCGTTTTGATGGAGCTGCTCCCAGTGAAGGAAGGTTTGCCCAAACGTGGAACCAGCCTTCGAGAACGAAGTGGCAGTTGTTCGTACTCCTGATGGTGGGAGGCGAGCGGTTTGCGGCGAGTGGATGGGGAAAATCAGAAGGATTAATAGTTTTATGTGTTTTCCTGCAGACATGTCCGCCCCTGTATTCGTATTTCTTTCTCCCTACAGTGCCAGTTGACGTTAATTTGTTCTTGATGCAATCGTCCATCTTTAGAAGTTTAGGTAGATCTGTTTGTTGTTCTCTGTGACAGCTCTGTGTCACCCCATTCTGAAAACCCATCCTGCTGTCGCCCCATCTGACAGTCTGTCCTGCTGCCGTCCCAGCTGACAGTTGTTTCTTATTTCGTCCCGGCAGATCTGTCTGATGTCGACCCAGTCTCTGACAGTGGTTTCTGCTCAGCTCACCTCGGCAGATCTGTCTGACCCATCTGACAATGGTTTCCTCTCTCACCCCGGCAGATCTCTGTCTAATGTCGCCCCCTCATATCTGTCCGATGTTACCCCAATCTGACAGTTGTTTCCGCTCTCGCCCCGCAGATCAGTCTGTTGTCGCCCCCTCATATCTGTCTGATGTTACCCCAATCTGACAGTGGCTTCCTCTCTCGCCCCGCAGATCTGTCTGATGTCGCGGGACATGCAGAACGTGCTGGTGGCCACGTACGCCGAGCTGAAGCAGTGCTTCCAGCGCTCCTTCCAGGAGGTGTTCGAGGAGACTCTGGCCAAGGAGGACGCCACGGCTTCCTAGTGGCGCCCAGTGCACGGACGGACGGTCTGCGCCGGAGCCTCGCTCGGCTGGCCGCGGCGGGGGAGGCGCGCGCGGCGCCCTGAGGTCGGTGGCGGGCGCGCGGAGAGTCTGGTAGGTTGTGTCCGGCTGTTGGCGGGGTGGCGGCGCGGCCGGGGGGTGGACGGCGCACCCTGACGCTCCCACCCAGCCGGCCGCACCACTCCGCGGGGCTGTGGCTCGGGGGACGGGAGGGCAGGGGGCAGGGGCTCGAGCAAACTGATGGGGTTGTGAGCAGGCCAAGCGCCGATGAGCCGTTCAAAAGTACCACCCGTGAGCCGTTCAAAAGTACCACCCGTGAGCCGTTCAAAAGTACCCCCCCCCCCCCCTCCCACCGAGTACACTCGTATACTCACCGTCCCACTTCCTACTTACCGGATTGTCGTCATAATGTCTCATTTTTAGGTATTCATCTATAGGGATCGGCCACACACACAGCTTCGTGAGCTCGACAACGACAACTGGTGGCTAGGAACTTATTTGCAGAGTAGTCCCCAAATCTTACTCCTTTACTTAACCCTACGGCGCTGCATGAAAAGTATCCTGCTCTGTGCTTTTACTGAGACATTTCAGCTTTGTTATTTAAGTTGCTGACACTTGCTGCGCTCGTTTTTTAAGCTAGATATTGCCAGTGGCCAGATAAGTGGTACGATCTAATTAGATTCAGTCTTTTTAAGCAGACTGAATCATCTCCTTAATATTTGCTCGCCAGTTTATATATTATAGGGCGAGTACGTGGAACAGGCGAGATGCAATCATTGAGCAGTGAGCCACTGCACAAAGGGCTGGCCGTACTTATGTCTTTCTGCATTTTCCATGCAGAACGCGTTTAGATCTGTCTATTTTGCATTTTATTTGCTTGAAGTCCCTCGTGATATTACGATGGCTGAAAATGAACCCAAATGATTGCGCTGCGACCGACTTATGTATTTATTTATGATATGCACCCATTGAAGGTCGATGTTTTAGCTTTATACATATTTGCGCATTAAACTTTATAAACCAGGGAGCATAGCATTCATGGACCTTATGTTCCACTCAGCAACATGTTTCACAAATATGACTCGTGGCGTCTCATTCACCCTATTCCACCCGTCCAAAGTATCGCCACCCATTGATCGAAGGTACAAACAGACCCTGCTTCCATAACGCCCGGACGGATGCCGCGTCCGTCGGGACGCACCCCGAGCGCGCGCTGAAATACGGCGCTGCAATGCAACATGTGGCGACACTGCTTGCAGCCCCGGATAGTTTTTGTATGCTCTCTCATCTGGCCTGGAATCGGACTATTTTTTATATGATTATCAAATTGAGGGATGCACTTGTCATCCTCTTTTACTATCATCCGCGCTGACAGGTTTGATCCGCTCAAAGCACGCTCTGAAGCTGTGCTGTCGGTCGGGCTCGTCCCCGTTGTGTGTTTGCGTCTCCGGAGGTGCTACTGGTGAGACCCCGTGTCCCAGGGTAGGGCGCCGTGCCGACTGGAAGGGTTTCCAACAGGGTCGCGTCGCGGTCTCTGTGGCTTGGTCGCTCCGCGGTGCGCGCGCGCTGTGGCCAGCCCAATCAGACCGCTTGTCTTATGTGTAAGTGTGTGTGTGGATGCGTATATTTGTGCGTGCGTGCGTCGGCGTCGTGAAGCGGACGCTGTACAAAGTCGCGGCGCTGTTACGGTCCGGCAGGAGGCAAGTGGTCTCCGCCTGCCGGGACGCTCTATTCGAGCCGCTGACCCGGCCGACCGAACTGACCTCGGATGGCCGTTGGTTGATAAGCCAACGCCAGAGACAGTGATGGCAGTAGCGATAAGAGGCGATTGTGTCGGTGTCAGAATTGCATAATTTTATGCGCACTTTTCGCGTATTCGTTGCGTCGGTTTCAGCTGTCTACCGCAATTGTGGCGAACCGGCGAAATTCCCGACCACAACGGTCTGCATGTATTTATTTACAAAAAGTGTGATGTTTTATACTCCATTGTCGCAGTGAATTCCACAATTGTGCTCGACATTTTTGCCTCACTATATCGCTGAAGTCCTGGCCGTTTTGGCTCCAGAAGTATTTTTAATTTCCTAGGTGTTGTATCTAGGAAAATATGAAAGAGATGTCTTATTTTGAGACTGACAGGTAAAGCTCATAAAAATGAATAAAAATGAAAATATTAATGTTGTTTGCCGAAGACCGAATGCTTCTTCTACCCGAACGCCTGCAGTTATACCCAAAGGATGATGACATACCACACCCAAGTGTGGTATGTCACACCCAAGTCGTTTATAGGGAAGCACTTAGGAGGAATTTCAGCGCGCGCCGTCTACATTCGCACGAGAAAAACATCATGGATGCTTGATTAATTAGCTGACTTGAATTATTAGGTAGTCCGTTATATTTAAGTTAGATTATTTAGGGGATAATTTCGTATTTGTTGGAGGGGAGGGTGGCTTGCTATCATCGGTGCATTTGAAGATGATGAAATTCTTAGAAGACGTCGAAAGCAGCCCTGAAGGTACGTTTCATTATCCCTTCATAAGCTGTTTTGTTAACCAAGTTTTTTACGCGTCGTTGGACAGCCCGTTTATTCCTGCTCATTGATAATTATTGTTTAATTCGGTATGTTATTTTCTGGGGTATTGTGTTTTTATACTAGTTATTAGTATTACTTTTACGCATAGGTAATGCATTAAATTAAATGAACGGTTATTTTCCCCTGATCTCTCCTTGTAGCTGGTAGTGAATGCCCATTGCCCAATGGGCAATGCCCATTTTTTATTTAGCATAAGAGACGACTGTATATACGTCCTTAATGCTTTACATCGTGCATCTGGTGGTCTACCAGAGCATTCAGTTACGGTCTAACTATTAACTAATACGACCACATGATCCAGTATGGAAGAAGCATCGCGTACAGATGGATATTAAAAGCTGGCAATCGCGTCGTGACGTTCAACCAGGGCCATAACAGTACATCTGCGGTCTGTTTGTTAGAATTATGCGGTTAGAAGGAATGTAGCGGCTGAATAATGCATGACCTGTTTAGCCTGTCGTCCTGCGAGGGCTTCAATGAATAGGTATTGTGTATCCGCGTAGCAACATCTCTAACTTAGGTTTTGACATTTTGCATGCTGAGATGGCTGCATTCGTTCTAATCCATGCAAATCGCGTTATATTTGCGAACTTCCGAAATTCGTTTCTTGGGAGTTCTGTTTGATATTGCAGAAATTTTTCTTTCTCAGTAAACGCAGAAACTATTTTGACGTTCAGCCTTAGAAGCAGTAGCGGCGGAGCAACTTCAACTAAGGGGGGGGGGAGGCACTAACGACTTTTGACCCCATTCTTTCCATGCAACGGCCCATAGGGCTAATGTTGAAATGCCAAAATCAAAGAGGGGTACGGTGCCTCGGTGCCCTCCCCGTTCCGCCGCCTATGCTTAGAAGCTAGAGGTCAAAATGATGACCTCATGAAATCCGATGAGGCTAGGCAGCACTTCTAAGAAAAAGAAACGATATAATAAAACAAAATCGATAACATTAAGTATTTAAAAGCCATGCGGTCATGTTTTCGTCCATGCTTCTCAAATCTTTGTCAGAACTCCAGAGAATGGGAGCTTTCGTGAACTCTGATGACCTCATTTTCATTGCCTGATGACAACAATACGAGTACCTACCTACGTTCTTTCGTTGCGACTGTTAACTAGCTTGAAAACACCGCCTTTCGATGCCTACTTTGTGCCAGAGGAACGATGCTAAAGGGGGACTTTAAACTTCAAACGCTCCACGCGGATCCCTGCTCGGCACATTAGGAAAAAGACCCCCGGCCCGCTGCGTGGAGGAACGTCAGTGGACAAACATTGGCGGACAGGCGATGAAACCGTCTCAAGATATCCACTCAAGTTCGATGTGTTGCCGCCACGATCTTGGTCGCCAACTACATGAAATGCCTAGACTTTTGTGGGGTTGGAAACGTTGCTAGTTGCTACGCAGCTCAGTCGCTTATTGGCCGTCCGGCTGTCTCATTTCTATTCGTGTCATCCCGTACCTGTATGATCCGATTAGCGGCCGCACACCGTACCGGGGCGCCGTCCATTTGAAGGTGCCATTTTTCTGCCTCTCCTGCAGTCGGCTTCCCGGCTGATATAATCGGCCGGCCGGCTCTGACGGCCGTGCCCGTATACGGCCGTATGTCGTATGTGGCCGGTGGCCGGTCAGCGGCTGCCGTGCGCGCAGACTGGGCACGTGCGCCGTATGTATATCTCAGTCTGTCGGTGGCGGCCACGCCGCTCCGACCCACCCCACGGCTCCAGCATGTCGGCTGGCCGAGACGGACGCCGTGTGAGCGACAGGACACCCGTGCTAACCCCGCCGAGGCCGGTGTCGGGGCCGGGGTGGCCAGCACTGCTGCCGGCGGCCCGGGGCCGGCTCTGACACGGCAGCCGCCGCCGGCCGCTGACCACCGGCCCGGCCGCCGAGTGAAGCGCCGGCGCCCCGGCGCCATGCCAGTGCTGTGTCTGAGGCGCAGTCCGTCTTCCGCCTCTGTGCTGGTGAAGTGTTTGCTGACGATGAGTGTGACCCGTGTGAAGAGCCGTACTCTTTGCCTGGTTCGGCGGCCGGCCGGGCGCCGACGCTGCAGGGTTCGCTGGGCGCCTTCGTCGGACCGTCCGGTGAAAGGGCGGCCACTGAGGACCGACCAGCAAGCCGCAGGTAATGTCAGAACGGTGATTGGTGTACTATGTGCGCTTTTGAGCGCTGCCTTTGTAAAAGGCACATTACCTAAGCATTTTTTGCTGGGAGGTACGTCGTCACTGTCTGATGCTACAACTACGATCCAACTTCGACGCATTATTTTCTCACTGGAAACAACTAGACATATTTTACCTTACTGACCAATTACTTATTACTCGGTGACCAGGCCACCAAGATCATGAAAGGTCAAATGCCCTCGATTTTAACGTTTTTTTTTTTTTTTTTGAATAATTTGCTCGCAACGTGAAAACTTATGCATCACCTCATTCGAAATAAGATCAAAAGATAACGGTTTCATCTGCGGCGGACAAAAACCGTCTATTGCTCAAATATTAGGAACGTAGCCTTGCTCGAACCGTCTATAGGGAAACTGGTAAGAAAGACACCTCAACCTCATGGATACTGAGCGCTTGTTGCGGGTCGCGGGAATAGGAAACGATCTTGTCGTTCGCCCATCATGGATAGGTTATAAAGTGTTTTCTTTGGCACATGCCTACTTTTGCGTTTTTATTCAAAACGAAACGATGTATAAGAACTTTTTGGGGCTTTGTCGATGACAAAATGCAAAAACAAAGTCGACAAAGTCGACTGTATTTATCGCCTTGGTCGACGACTTCGACGGGAGAAAAACGTAGAGTAAAAACTTCATGGTTCTTGGGGAATGCGCTGGCATATGAGGTCTTCACAGGGCTACCATATGCGGTGAGATGAAAGAGGTCGGCGGGGTGGGGATTCCAGGACAAATCTTCGTATGGCATTTCTTCGTCGCGCAATTCTTCGTCCGCATTTCTTCGTCCGCAAATCTTCGTCGGCGCATTTATTCGTGTCGCATTACTTCGTCTCGCATTTCTTCGTAGGTGCAAAAATTCGTAGCGCATTTCTTCGTATCCGCATTTCTTCGTCGGCGCATTTCTTCGTCAAGCATTTTTTCGTCCACGCATTTCTTCGTCTACGCAAATCTTCGTCCGCATTTCTTCGTCCACGCAAATCTTCGTCTGCGCAAATCTTCGTCCGCAAATCTTCGTCTCCGCAAATCTTCGTCCGCAAATCTTCGTCCGCATTTTTTCGTCCACGCATTTCTTCGTCTACGCAAATCTTCGTCCGCATTTCTTCGTCCACGCAAATCTTCGTCCCCGCAAATCTTCGTCCGCAAATCTTCGTCCGCAAATCTTCGTCCGCAAATCTTCGTCCGCAAATCTTCGTCCGCAAATTTTTTTCGTCCACGCATTTATTCGTCCAATCAAATCTTCGTCTGCAAATCTTCGTCCGCAAATCTTTGTCTGCGCTATCTTCGTCTCCGCAAACATTTGTCCACAAATGTGGTTCAATAAAACCATGAAGAAATATCAGACAGTCAAGTGAATGACGAATTTAATGCAAGGAATGGATAATCAAAACTTTTGAAGACAGGTAGATGAGGTCAGTCAGGTGAAGCTATTGTATTTGGGAGCCGACAATCGTAACATTCCTCATTTGTGTCCCGGACATTTTTTTGCGGTCGTTGAATGACAATATAATCTCTTGTACCCTCGCCGGCATAGGCGGCGGAACGGGGAGGGCACCGGGGCACCGTTCCCCTCTTTAATTTTGGCCCTTTAACAGTAGCCCTATGCCCTATGGGCGTTGCATGGAAAGCATATTGGACCAAAAGTCGGCAGTGCCGTGCCCCCCCCCCTTAATTGAAGATGTTCCGCCGCTACTGCCCGCCGGACCTATTTGTTTTCTACGGTACACGCCGGCCGAGGGGGCGGGTACGACCCCCCCCCCCCCCCCCATCGCCGTTTCGCCACTGGTGGAGCTAGCGCGTCGCGGAAAAAAAAACGAGCGTGTGCGCCGTTACGAGCCGCAGAGATTAATACCCGATTTTAAGGCCTTCTAGGTCAGCGGTCGGCATACGGCCCGCGGGCCGGATCCGGCCAGGTGGGTGACGGTTGGATCCGGCCCGCGACCAGCTGACGTCCGGCCCGCGGCTGGTATCAGCGACTTACATCGTGTTCCGGCCCGCGGTTCCTTCATAAATCGACTCCGATATAAAAGTGACTCAAATGTGCTTCGGCACAACAGTTCTTCCTTCGCACACTTCATGAGTTTATAAACACCATTTGCGGGTGTTTTTGTCTATTTCTACTTCTAGACAAAACTTGCAACGGTAAGATTTGGTCAGCAGCTTTTGCGCGCAGCATCAACGACTGCTGCAGCTGCGTGCACTTGGCGGCTTCACGTGGTCTACTCGCTTAACCTTCCAGGTGGTATGTGTGTGTGTGGGGGGGGGGGGGGGGGGAGCCGGGCCGGAACACGATGTAAGTCGCTGATACCAGCCGCGGGCCGGACGTCAGATGGTCGCGGGCCGGATCCAACCGTCACCCACCTGGCCGGATCCGGCCCGCGGGCCGTATGCCGACCCCTGACCTAGAAGGCCTTAGCCCGCGCCCCACTGGGGTCTGCGTATAACACGCCCTACTGGGGGGGGGGGGGGCTATTCATAGCCCCCCTCCTAACTCCGAAACTACTGGGCCGATCGTCAAAATTCAAACGGTGTCTGATAGCCCCGGAAAAACTGTCGAGCGAAACCTAATTTCATTGACCTCGAGGTCACCGATGACGTCACAGGTCAGGTCAAAGTAAAAATTATTAGCATTTTGCTTGTTCACGTTTTGGGCTCTGGCCGCCGTCTTACAAGTCAGATCAGGCTCATTTTTGGATCACACACTCGTGAACAGATGCTCTAGATACCCTGAGGGTACCAAACTTGCACTTTGATTTTCAGGTCAAGGTCAGGTCATCACAGGTCACGAAAATATTATATCATGCGTCGGTCACGTGACACATGTTTTATGGTCCATTTAGGCCAGATATTTCGAATTTGATGTCGTCTGTGTCATTCGAGGTCATTTTGAGTCGAATTTAGCTTAGGTCAGGTCACTTTCAGGTCAGAAAAGGTCAAATTTTAAAGTTAAAATTTTTCAACAAAAAAGGTGTCTATTGGATGCAGTTTGAGCTCAGGAGCACGATGGTGCTATTTTTATTGGCGTACGATGTCAAATACGTGCTGAAAAATTGATTTGAAAAATTAATAATTGTGAATTTTTTGCAATAATGCGTAAAACTTGGCCATTTTTGAAGATATTTAGCTAAAACTTGCTAGAGATAGTCATAATAATGCGTTCTAACACATATGTTCCGGTTTTTTCGAAAAGTCAAAATCTTTTTGAAAAAAATGTAAAAATATAAATTTTGGATTTTATTATATCAAATTTCCGTAATTTTCAAAATTTCGAAAATCTGAGATAGCAGTTTGATAGCGCAGTCTATTCGGAGTCCTCTCATGCAAAGAAATTGGATCTAGCTTAAAAACTGAGCTCTTGGGAGCGATTGCCGTGGTTCAATGTTTTGCGTCGAAATCGGCCGAACATGACGTCACTCTGACGTCATTTCCGGCCGACCTATGGTAGCTACGATGCTAAAATTTTGACACAAGGTGTCAAATTGATGCAGCCGAAGGTACTGCAAGTTTGGCGTCGATACGTCAAGCGGTTTGGAAGTTATTGCAGAAAAACGGGAGGGGGGGCTATAAATAGCCCCCCCAGTGGGGCGCGGGTTAAAATCGGGTATTAATCTCTGCGGCTCGTAACGGCGCACACGCTCGTTTTTTCCGCGACGCGCTAGCTCCACCAGTGGCGAAACGGCGATGGGGGGGGGGGGGGGTCGTACCCGCCCCCTCGGCCGGCGTGTACCTACCGTAGAAAACAAATAGGTCCGGCGGGCAGTAGCGGCGGAACATCTTCAATTAAGGGGGGGGGCACGGCACTGCCGACTTTTGGTCCAATATGCTTTCCATGCAACGCCCATAGGGCTACTGTTAAAAGGCCAAAATTAAAGAGGGGAACGGTGCCCCGGTGCCCTCCCCGTTCCGCCGCCTATGCCGGCGAGGGTACAAGAGATTATATTGTCGTTCAACGACCGCGAAAAAAAAGGATGTCCGGGACACAAATGATATGGAATGTTACAATTGTCGGCTCCAAATACAATAGCTTAACAACTGACTGACCTCATCTACCTGACTTCAAAAGTTTCGATCATCCATTCCATGCATCAAATTCGGTATTCACTTGACTGTCTGATATTTCTTCATGCTTTTATTGAACCACATTGGTGGACGAGTGTTTGCGGAGACGAAGATAGCGCAGACAAAGATTTGCGGACGAAGATTTGCGGACGAAGATTTGATTGGACGAAGAAATGCGTGGACGAAAAATGCGGACGAAAATTTGCGGACGAAGATTTGCGGACGAAGATTTGCGGACGAAGATTTGCGGGGACGAAGATTTGCGTGGACGAAGAAATGCGGACGAAGATTTGCGTAGACGAAGAAATGCGTGGACGAAAAAATGCGGACGAAGATTTGCGGACGAAGATTTGCGGAGACGAAGATTTGCGGACGAAGATTTGCGCAGACGAAGGTTTGCGTGGACGAAGAAATGCGGACGAAGATTTGCGTAGACGAAGAAATGCGTGGACGAAAAAATGCTTGACGAAGAAATGCACCGACGAAGAAATGCGGATACGAAGAAATGCGCTACGAATTTTTGCACCTACGAAGAAATGCGAGACGAAGTAATGCGACACGAATAAATGCGCCGACGAAGATTTGCGGACGAAGAAATGCGGACGAAGAATTGCGCGACGAAGAAATGCCATACGAAGATTTGTCCGGTTACGCGGGGTGGGGGCTGCTGGGAGGGGTCGTGTTACCGGTGAGTTTTCAGTAGTTATTGGTACTCTTGGTCGCTTAGGTGGTGGATCGAGATAGTTGGGTAGTATTCTTGCGGGTTGCATCGTATTTACCTTTTTGGAGTATTTGTGGGCATTATTTAATGGCAATCAAAGTGCGTCGCATTTGTACCGCCACAGGTTGGCGATTGCCTATATTTTTGTATATCCTTATTTGAGAAATTTAAGCATCAATTACTAATTTTTATGCATTTTGAGGCTGCCTCAGACTCTTTTAGAATGCAGGAAATATAATGTGATATGGACTAAGGTTATTTAATTGAGCTCTTGTGATGAAGGCACTCGAGTCTGCTACGTGCTTTAGATAACACTGATGGGTCCAGCATTTGAAGATAATAGATGAATTGGTGATTGGTTTTCCTAATGGTCTGTTAAATGCCTGATTTCTTTGAAAGCATAGGCAAATCAATAGCTTCTTCTATTCTTGTAATACCTTTATGAGTGGTTTGAAACTTCTTAAAAGTTTTGGTGAAAAGGTAAAACTTAATCTGGGTTACTTTACCTAACCTCACCTAACCCTACACCCACCTAACACCTACCTCCGGCAGAAGGCCGGGCTGTGTGCTGGGTTAGATCAGATTGGATATGGAGACCTCCCCTCAATTGATTATGCTATTTGCTACACTAGTGAGAATCATTTTTAGATTCAGGACATGTAAAAAATGGAAAATGAACAAAATTTACTCTTCAAAAACTGTGTGGACCTCAGTTTCAGTAATACTTGTTGTATGGCACAAAGAAGACTAAAGTCTTAATGTTTTGAATGGAGATAACTAAGCTGCTTTGCCCATAAGTTAAATAATAAAATTTCATTCTGCTTGTAAAAGCTTGACAAATAGTGGAAGGCTCAAGGCAAGGGAGAACTGAAAAGTTGATATAGAAGGGAATCAGTAATAAAATAAATATGTTCATACCTTTTGATGACTTTTTACCTTGCATGGTTTCATACCAAGCTCAATTCTTACTTCATCACAGTTACCAATTTATATGTTTCTACATAGAGAGGCTATTTGTTCACTTATATGTAACAAAAATTAACATTGAGACAAGAAAACACTCCAAAGGTTTTAAAAATAAATTGAGCACCCCTTGCTCTCTGCACTAAAATACCAGTTTTTAAACCATAACATATCTCAAACATTTCTGAAAAGTGGAACATAGGTAGAGATTTATAGGATTTTAGGGTGCATCAAGGAAGTGTGACAAGGAGGGACGTATGATGGGCAGCAGGACATCATTAGGATGTCAATTTTGATGTCATATCTCATGACACCCCAGTTGTTTCCAGAAGGACTGGATGGGGAAAGCAGCAACTTAATCAACATTCAGAGAGGTCCTGAGGCATCACACAGACAATCCAGCTTTTGGGATGCTATCCACGTGGCAGCGAGACTCTCTATGATGTCACATCGCCCTAACGCCACAGACCTGCCTGTCTGGGAGTGTTTCCAGGTCGAAATAAAACGGTGATCTGTCGTCCTAGCTCCCTTGATGACGACCCTTTAAGCTTCTTATGAGGCGACGATTGACGGCGCTGTGTCTGCAGGTAAATTATCGTGGAGAGGCGCCGAGATGGTGGCCGGCGATACCAATGGTTACGGCTCGGAGGAGCACGGCGACACGGGCGGCGACTCGACGCCACGCCTCAGTCCGGCCGGCCAGCAGACGCCCACGGGCGCCAGCACGCGCACCTCGCTCGTCAAAATGTCCGCCGACAAACGCGCCAAAAAGGTAACCCCGTGCAGCGGCTTGTTGGGAAGATGAGGGCTGCTACTGTTGAAGGCAGCCTTGACTTTGAGTGAGATATTGGTTGCTGTCACTGGGCGTTGTCTACGTTCAGTTATAAATTGGGCTTTTACCGAGACGACGAGACGAAAAAATGTCTTGTTTTATTTTGCTTCGAGAAATTGGAGATATTTTCTTGATAACGTAAGATTTCACCCACCGTGCTCCTTATTTTCTCGCCCATCGTTGACTGGTCTCATGCGTCCGCTGTTTCAGGTGCGCTTCTACCGGAACGGCGACCGTTTCTTCAAGGGTCTGCCGTTCGCGGTGCCGCCGGACCGTTACCGCACGTTCGACAGCCTGCTGGCCGACCTGACACGCTCCTCGGTGGTGAGCCGCGCCGCGCTGCCCATGGGCGTGCGTGTCATCTTCACATTGGACGGCATGAAGGTCAACAGCCTGGACGACATCCTCGAGGGCCAGAACTACGTCTGCTCCAGCACGGACACCTTCAAGAAGCTCGACTACCTGGGCAGCCAGGACCCGACGTGGAACACGCGGCGCGGCCAGCCCTCGCCGGCGCACACGCCGCCGCAGCACTCTGGCAGCGCGCAGGTGGGTCTCAGTGTGTGTTTGATGGGGGGGGGAGCCAGGTGAGGGGCGGTCCGTGACTCGTGAGGTATCGACCCGTGAGTCAGCGTACCGTCGGGGAGGGTTTCCTGCAGGGGATTGGGACCGCCGCCTGTCGCCGGGCCAGTATTGAGCGGCCCGTGGAGCGGCGGTGTCGGTAGAGTGGACCTCTCGCCGGCGGTACTCGCCAGTCTCTGGTCTGCTCTGGATGGGGTGTACTGACGGTGCTGCCGATCGGACGGTGCTGTGCCCGGCTCTGGCACAATGCCGGCGCTGACCCGACCCGGCTCCCGGCCGCCCCGGCAGGACATGCAGACCGAGTCGAGCGAGCGGATGACGGCCGGCGGCGGCTCGCGCGACTTCATCCACCCCAAGCTGATCACCGTGATCCGCAGCGGCACCCGGCCGCGCCGTCTCGTGCGCATGCTGCTCAACAAGAAGACGGCGCACTCTTTCGAGCAGGTGCTGCAGGAGCTGTCGCGCGCCGTCAAACTCGACTCGGGCGTCGTGAGGAAAATATTCACCGTCGAAGGCCGACAGGTAGGATTGTCGTCGAGGGATAGAGTACGCTGACGGTTATCTCGAGGTCGATGGAATGTGCTGATTAGGTAGTTTCTGTGTTCTATGTATCCATTTTGAATTACTGATACATTTGCGTTCAGCGAAGCACTCGGCTTTGCTGTTGTCATCACTGAACGTGAACTCTTCATTCATTGAGCCGTTTTGAATGAAACTTTTTCCAGAGACAATAGTGTTCTGGGATCAGTTATTGTGCTTAGTTTTTATTCGACCTCACTATCCATTGCAGATTCGGGAACTAGAAGATTTCTTTGACAACGATTCTCTGTTCATCGCGTACGGCCACGAGAAGCATCGTCCGGACGACTTTGACCTGCACCCGGACGAAATGAAGTGGCTGATAGGCCAGGTCAGTGGAAATCGGCCGAGCTCACGCACGTGGGCCGTGAGTCATGGTGGTCATGTGCCACATCAGGCTAGTGGTACTTGAATATACGCTATCTGCTTAATATCAGTTGACCGTGAGGGACGTGGTAAGCCTAGTTGACATGACCGCTGATTGTTGCTGCCATTTAATGAGACGAGGTTGAAATGACACCGAGCTGCGTGCGGCTAGATGGTTAGCTGTTGGAACACTGAGGCTGATTAATTGTTCGATCGATTATGTTCATAGGCGCAGTTTCTCAGGCTGATTATTCCCCGTGGCCTCAGCTATAATGTGGATCTGTGGAGGAGAAAGACTGGGAGAGTGGGAGGGGACTTCGAGCGTAGTTTGCAGTGTGCGTTTCGGCACGGCCTCAGTTGGCCCGTGCTCCCGCTGACTCCTCTGACTGGTCTGCCGGCAGGCGGGCAGTAAGCACGTGCTCGAGCCGGGCACAGAGCATCCGTCAGCCTTCCGCTCGTCCAGCGGCCGGCGCGCGGTGTCTGCGCGCGCGCCCGGCGGCCGCGCCTCCATGGCCGGGCCGGCCGGCGCGCCCGACGGCTACAGCACGCTGGCCACGCCGCGCGCGCGCCGCCGGCTGCGCGCCAAGTCGCCGTTCCTCGCTTCTGGCCAGACGAACGGAGCGGCGCCGCCACCCAGCGAGAGCGGAGTCGACTGCCCGGCCCGCGTGCGGGAAAAGTACTGGGTCGGCCGCAAAATCGGCGACGGCAACTTCGCCGTGGTGTGCGAGTGTGTGCACAGGTGCGTATGGGCCGGCCGACGGGTGCCGGAGAGCTGGGCTGACGTACGATGGATGAGTGAGCTGAGTGGAGAGAACTACAATCGGGAAACTGGATAGACTGTGGGTGGGCTGAGTGGATAGGAGGCCGGATTGTTTGCTGATCGTTACGATACATCAGCGCTGTGAGTGTTCTGAGTCGCGTCGGTGTTTTTTTTTTTTTGGATAGCCGACTGTTTTGGGGCTCTCTGTTCGAAGGCTGCTGGTGCTGTCTGTTTTTACCGTTGGTTGTGTGGGTGACACGTTTGGCGCGACTCCTAACGCCCGCTGCTGTCCGTACACAGGTCCTCTGGCGCCGAGCACGCGCTCAAGGCCATCGACAAGTCCAAGTGCCGGGGGAAGGAGCAGATGATCGAGAACGAGGTGTCGATCCTGCGGCGGGTGCACCACCCCAACATCATCCAGCTGGTGGAGGAGTTCGACTTTCCCGCGGAGCTCTACCTCGTCATGGAGCTGGTCAAGGTAACCGCCCGCGCGCTGCAAACTGACGCACAGCATTGGCCCTGTGGGGTAGAGTGGTGAGCCGTTCGGTGTGCTGGGATCCAGCTAAATACTGGCACGGGCCAAGTGACCGGCGACAGCTCATGAATTATCAACTTCATTTCTTGGATAAATTATTTCATGCTTAATGGTGATATTGATGAATGACAATCGTGATGGGTTCGTCGCATGCCCTCGGCACATTATTGATTTAATGGCTGTGGGCGATGTTAGCTCATCAATCATGGTATGAGCCCGAAATAGGTGCCCTGCCCGTCCTGCGTATCTGACATTCCGTTCCCCGGTCGGCAGGGCGGCGATCTGTTCGACGCCATATCGACCACGACCAAGTACACGGAGAAGGACGCCAGTAATATGGTGCGCGACCTGGCCTCGGCGCTCTCCTATTTGCACCACCTGGACATCGTGCACCGCGACATCAAGCCGGAGAACCTGCTGCTGGTCGAGCGGCCCGGCGGCGTCAAGAGCCTGAAGCTGGGCGACTTTGGGCTGGCCCAGGAGGTGACGGGCCCACTGTACGCCGTCTGCGGCACGCCCACCTACGTGGCGCCCGAGATCCTCAGCGGAGTCGGCTACGGCGTCAAGGTGGGACGGGGGGACGGGAGGGTGGCCGGGAAACTGGCCTGTGGTCAGCATGTGGGTGGTGTGTTCTGTTCTTCAATCGCTGTCCCGCCCTGTAGCCCACCGTTTCCCTGACCCCGCCGGCCGCCCGCTCTCCGACTTCCTCCAGGTGGACATTTGGGCGGCGGGCGTCATCACCTACATCCTGCTGTGCGGCTTCCCGCCGTTCGCGTCGGCCGACAACAACCAGGAGGAGCTGTTCGACCGCATCCTCTCTGGCGAGTTTGAGTTCACGCCGCCGTTCTGGGACGATGTGTCGGACGCGGCGCGCGAGCTCATCACGGCCATGCTGCAGGTGGAGCCGGACGCCCGGTTCTCGGCCGAGGAGGTGCTCATCCACCCGTGGATCGCGGTGAGTGGCGCTCCGAGCCGGACTGGGCGGCGCTCCGGCTGAGGGAGGGACGGTGGCGGCGGGGGACCGGGAACTGGGAGAGCGCTGAGCTCGGCGCACACTGTGTGACTAATTGTGGTTTGGTGACAGTAGTGTGGCTCTCGTAACGGGCGTTTTTATCGTGAGTGGGCTCACTAAAACATCCCGGTCTAACGGTCAGTGGTGTGGGGCTAGAACATGATGGTCAGTGTAGCGTCGCGTATCAACAAACACGGCGTAACAACCGATCAGAGCCGACCTGCCGGGGAACCGAGCCTCGGTGCGGTGGGGCTAGGCTGGCTTTGTTATAGGCGGTTCCCAGCAGTGCGGCCGCTCCGTCGCCGCCGCTGGTGCGTGACGCGCTGGCCTTGTCCGTGACGGCTGCTGAACCGTCACGATCGTCACGGACCGGTGCAGCTGGGGTCCGTGTGACGCATACAAACAACTCTGTGACGCTCGGCGGGGGACTGACCGGCTCCCTCTGCCCGTCACTCTGTCTGCCTCCTACCGCCGCCGCTTGCTCTAACCGCTGCGAGCGACTGGCCGGCGCACCACTAACCCACTATGCCCTGCGCAGGAAGACGAGGCTTTAGAGAATGACATGCACTTGACGGTTGCTCACAAGCTGGGCATCCATTTCGACACGGAGTCGAGCCGACATAAGAACGCCGGCGTCAACCTGCTCACGGTGAGTGTTCTTACGGCGAGGCCTGCCGCTCTGAGCCGCTGATCTTCCGGCCTATCGTCGTGCAGCGCGCCTCTATCTGTCACGCGCTCGTGCCGCCTTATTCCCGCGCGCTGTGCTCGCTGTATGCTCGAATATGCTGCGCCTCCCCTCTTGGCCCCTCCCCACTTGTGTCTGCTGGCCGCTCGGAGGAGCGAGGGGCGTGGCCAGCTGGGGTGCCGGTGTGGCCAGTGAGTGGGGTGGCCAGCCGCGGTGCCGGTGTGGCCAGTGAGTGGTATGGCCAGCAGCCTGGGGTACCAGGGTGGCAAGTGAGTGGCGTGGCTAGGGGTGCCGGTGTGGCCGCGGCCCACAGACTGTGACCGCCGTCTGTTTCCACAGGCCAAGTCGTTACCCGTTATCACGTGGGCCACCGACGTGGAGGCTGCTCAATAGCTAGTGTTGCGCCGATATGCTCCCAGCCCTGCCCTATAGCCGCACCTCTGTCTATCTATCTATCAATCTATCTATATCTCCTCCGCTGTCTGTCAAACGTTACTCCCCGGATGTGATACTTATTCCTTCTGTTCCTTTTAATGCATACGGTGCCGCTAGCCAGCGGCCATGGAGTATGAAGCTGTGGTAAGTGCTGGCACTATGAGCTGCCGATTGGCCTTTTTTGGGCGTTCTGTGTTTATTGTTTTGTTTGGACTTCGCTAGTGTTTTGACTGTTAGGCTTTGCTACCAACGGATCGATAGTGAAAATTTGCGCTGTTCTTCCTGATTCAGTTGTAATAAGATGTGAACATTAGTTTGCCTGAGTATTGGCTCATTTTCAGATGCTATTGTTGTGTTTTCTTGTTTGATTTGGCTTGATCGACGTCGTCTTGTTTTACGTTGTCATGTTTTGCGTTTTGTGTTGCCCGAACCTGAATGGTGTCCATATCGTGTGCCTTTGTTGTGTGTACATAGTTTGTGAAGACTCCCTGGGCGCCTCTGCTCCCCATGTGGAGACCCACAGACTGGGCTCCCTCCCTGGGCGCCCTCAGCTGCGCCGGCCGTCAGTGTGTGCGCTCCGTTACAGAAGACGGCGCTGGACAAGGAGGACGAGCTGTTCCTGGGCTCGTGTCTGCTGGACGGCGCGCTCGGCTAGGGAGCACAGCTGGCAGCGGCCGGTAGCGACACCGAATCTCAACACATCGACACGGTGCGGCGCGCACCTCTCGGCAGCGAGGAGCGCGCGCGCGTGAGGCTTTAGTTTTGTACCGCCGACCCGCGAGATTGGCTCCAAATCGGGTGTGAGCGCGTTGTGAGCTGATACCATTTGATCTGGTGTGCGTGTGCCAGTTGTTGCCTTGGTTCTAACGGCGCGCCGGCCGGCGGCAGCGGACCCTAATACCTGCTGCCGCCGCCGGCGCGCAGAGTATTTAATGCAAATCTAGCGCTTTACCGGCTGCGCGCGCGCGCGAGTGGCGGCCGAGACGGCGTGGACGACGCTGTCCCTTGTTTTTTTCTAGTCTGTACGCCGGGCGCGCGGCCGAAGACGGCCGACGGCGGCCACCTCAGGGCCGGCGGACGCCGGGCGCGCCGCGCTGCCACGTTTGTCCTACGTGCACAAAGATACCGCTGGGCTAATACCGCGCTGTGTAATGTATTTTTCGTAGTAATTATTTTGTCAAATAAATAGTCGCACTCAGTCGACGACGCTTTTATAATGCGACTATGAAATACAGATTTCATTGGGTCCTAGGTCATGTTTGTTGCGTAGGATGACGTAGTTATTGCGACGGTGTTTCGTGAGCCGGATTTTGCCGCATTCTGCGACTCTTCCGCCCAGCTGTTGTTTGTTCTCCGACTGGCTCGTGACCTTGCGTTAAGGACGCACGGTTTTCCGTTCTCGGTGCCTGGTGGTCCCGTCACCAGCGCCTGGTACGTCACTCAGCGTCAGCAACATTTCTGGGACCTGTGACGCCTGCATCATTGTATGACGAGACGTCTGTCGAGGCGTGTCGGACAACCGCGCTGATTGGTGCAGGTCTCCTGACGGGGCTCTTCCTGATGAAGCTACGCGCGCCACTGTTTTATTTACGATACACGGTATTCTGCGATACAGATTGGGTCGCAGCTTGTCACATTTAGGTAGCCAGTATCTGAGTTTGGGACTGCTCAGTTCTCAGGTTATAAGGTGGGTTTTCAGTAAATGGTAACGGGCCAGCAGCGCAGTGTCTGTGTCAGTAATCCCACTCTGCCCAGTTCTACATACAGCGTCAAACACTGCACCCCTCGTCACCTCTGTGTATGGCGATCGTTCTGCCACAGCACAGCATTTCACAGCCTCCATGGATTCGGTCATTGACCTCACCAGCACCACGCGGAACACCTGTCCCTCCGTCAGCAGTAACGGGCACACGGACACGGGTTCCTCCGTCAGCAATCACGGGCACACGGTTCCTCCGTCACAGTTACGGGCACACGGGTTCCTCAGCAATCGGGCACGCATGGTCCCTCCGTCACCGATCACACGGGTCCACACGGGATCACACGGGTCCCTCCGTCAGCAATCACAGGCACACGGTCCCTCGGTCACCGATCACGCGGGTCCCTCCGTCAGCAGTCACGGGCACACCGTCACCCTCCATCACCGATCTCACGGGCTACATCACGTCAGATACGGACCGGATCACGCATCAGTCACTGAACACGCTCACAGAGCCTTTCGTCACTGCCGGCCACAGATATCCCTCGGTCACCGGGCCACCAGTCGGTCGGTGGCCGACTCGCCCGTCTGCGCCCGGCCGGAGGCGGTCAGGAGGACCATCTCTGTGCCGGCGGCGGTCTCCTCCATGGCGCTGTAGGGCGGCTGGCGGTCTCTGCCGTCGGTCGGCTGCAGCGAGTGGTAGTAGCGCAGCACGGCCGCCAGCGTGAGCAGCAGGTAGCCGAGCGCTAGCAGCGCCACGGCCAGGTGCCAGCCACAGCCGGGCCAGGCCGAGCAGCTGGCGTAGAGCGCCGCCGCCGTCAGCACGGCCAGCCACGTGAGGCCGGCCAGCAGCAGCGGCCGCCGCCGGCTGGCCACGCCCACCGTCAGCGCCGAGCTGGCCACCAGGTGTACGCCGGCGGCGACCAGCAGCGCGGTGCGCGCCGCCGCGCCCGTCACCAGCGCGCCGCCCAGCGCCGCCAGCGAGCCCAGCAGCAGCAGCAGCAGCGCGCCGACCAGCGCCAGCGAGCGGCGCACCGTGCCGCGGTCGGCTCCCATCGCACCGAATCGGGCAGCGCCCGGTCAGAGAGCTGTCAGTGGAGGGCCGCGCACGGATCCGAGACACTCCGAAACGCTGGAAAGCGAGGTTTTATCTCGATCTGAGGGACCAAGAGTCCGGCGCCGTCTTGTTATTCAACTCTTCGCTTCCGTCAGCAGCGCAGACACCTACCGTTGTTACGGAGTGATGGACGCCTCCCACGCGCGACAGACTCGCTCAATGACACACCTCTGACGGACCCACTAGCGCCTCTGACGGACACACGAACGCACTGCGCGCAAACACTCCAACGAAAACTGATACACGCTGCCGGCCCAGCTGGCCGCTGTTTATGTTTCAGTCTGCGTCGCCACTGCAGAACGGTTCGTCGAACGGACTGGTGCAGCTGCACTGCACGGCGGATCGTCGAACGATGGGTCTGTCCGCAGCACCGTCCCGAGGCCGACTGTACAGTCGACTGGAGCAGGCCGCGCCGAGGCGTCAACCAGTGACGCTCCAAAACCGGTTGAGTTCTTACGGGCTGAGTTTGCCGGTTTCCTGTATCGCAACCGCGCCATGTCGGCGACCGGACACTCCCACGGCCAGTTTTTGCCCGAAGTAACCCCTCAGCTGCGATGTTGGGACTTGGGAGTGTCCTGTTTCGACGCTTATCTTGTCAACTTCAGAACGTCGACAGGTGACAAGTGATCAGCAGACAAAAAGTGTTCCATGTGACCCGAATAGACAAAAATGTAAGCCCCGTAATGCAAGTCCCAAATGAGCAAATAACAGGAGTTGCTGCTTATCGTCTAAAGTGTTCAATGCCTGGTAGCACTGATGGGACACTGGCGAAGCCATCGGAGCCATCCAGCGCACTACAGAGCGAACCCCGCCCCTCCTGGCAGGTCACCCCTCTGGCGTTCCCCCATAATATCCCTAACCCTCCAAAGGCAGCGGTCACGGCTCGACTGGTGCATTTATTGCTGGCACGGCGCGGTCTGTGCGCGGTGGCGGCCGGTGGCCGGCGGCACAGCGCGCTCCTCTCTCGCCACTCGACACACGCAGCTCACGGGAGATCAGATTGTCATACACGGCGCGGTGAACGGCGGGCCCGGGCCACGGGCACCAGCCTCAGAAACAGGGGGGGGGGGGGGGCGACCGGTCACAGACGCACAGCAAAACCGACCGGTATACGAGCCACCCAGCCGGACCGATATCAAAGAAACAGACAGTGTAACGACTTTCAGAAGTGACTTTTCTGAAAGCCCGCTACGTCCAAGGAATAATCTTTACAGACATTGCGTCGGTGTCACCTTATACCGATCGGCTTTGCTGCGCAGCATTGACGCCAGGTCAGCCACAATTAAACAGCTATGGCCAACAAACGAAAACATTACCGAGATCTAACTGATTAGGGCCGTTTCTGCCAGTAATGGGGGCCGGAAAAAACAGTGACAGGGCACAGGGAAGACGCAGTCAAAATACTCAATTCATGGGCGAGCACACATACAAAGTTCATCGAAACACCACCCTGCACTGGGGCTGGGAGCAGCCGGAACAACGCAGAGCTATCAACACTCAAAGGGAGGGAGAGAAAACCACAAATTACAACCAAATATGCACCCACGCATGGATTCAGTAGGAAAGAAGGGCGCCGGCGGCCTCTGCCTCGCGGGCGCCGCGGTGGCGCACGCACATCATAGGTTATACACAGACACGAGATAACATGTATGTATAGTGAGCCGGCGGCCCGGGCCGGGTCAGTCGACCGGAGGTAGGCTGACCCGCTGAGCCCGCCGCGGCACAAACATCCGATAAACACTTCACAACGGCACGTCATACACACATGGCGGGCGGGCGGGCGGGCGGGGCGCCCGGCCCTGGAATGTAGCTGATACTCGTCTGCGGAATGAGCGCCGGCACGGCGTGCATGATTATGTACAGGGCGCCACGGACGCGCGGCTCTCTCTCTGGCACACTCGCCGGGAATACTTCTCTGGCCCGGCTGGCGCCGCTATAAGTACTTGGCAAACCCCCGCTCACGCAGACCCGCTCTATAAGTACGCGGCCGCCGCGCGGACCGACCGAGCCGATACCCGGCCGGATATAAATACAAAGGACACGACCGACGGCTGGGCGAGCGGCCTCACAGTAACGGCAATATATACTGACCTGAAACTTGGACTCAGATCTAAAGCATCTGTCTCGCGCTCTCGGCACTAGCTGTTAGACCTCCGTACAATACCCCTACGCACTGTTAGCTGTGCTAGTCACAAGCGGTACGCCCTACACGGCATAGCGACCAGAACTCGTATTTTGTCGGGGCTCCGCGGCCCCCTCACACTGCTCTCGGGAGCTCTCCAGCCCTCAGATCTTGCCGCGCTCGGCGCGCAGCTGTTGGCACATGGCACGTGGCCCGGCTGTCCCCGCCCGTCCGCCGGGGGCGGGGGCGGGGGCGGGGCGGCTACACGTCGGCGCTGCACTGCGGCGTGACGGCGCGTGGCGAGCCGAGCCCGCCCAGCCAGCCCAGGCCCACGCCGGCCGTCGGCGGGTCGGAGCGCTCCCGGCCGTCACGCTCCCAGTCCTCGTCGCCGCGGCCGCCCGACGAGCTGTACTCGAGCTTCACCATCGTCGGCAGAGACGTGTCCTTGTCCTTCTTCTTGCGCGCGTACCTGCCCGGGGCGGGAGGGTCAGAGGTCAGCATTGGGCCACGGTCAGAGGGTGTAAAGGGGATAGAGACAGAGGCCAGCACGGGGTCACTGTTAGAACCAGAGGTCAGCACGGGGTCACGGACAGACGGTGGGGAGGGGACAGAGGTCAGCATGGGGTCACAGGAGGAGGGCGAAAAGGGACAGGTACCAGCATTGGGTCACGGTCAGAGGGTGGAGAGGGTGTGAAGGTCAGCACCGGGTCACGGTCGGGTCGGGGATGTGCTGACGGATGGCGTGTCTATTACACATATTGAAGGATCGCGTCGCAAGTGTCGCAGCCGTCAAGGAGCGAGTAGGAAAAAGACAGATACACTTCGAGGTTTGGAAACACGAGAACACCGGTTATTAGTAAACTGTAAATGAGCCTCTAAAAACAGCGCTTGCTAACGTTGTGAGCTGCAAATGCTTTACTTTTGACATTAGAGTTTAAGCAACTGATAGCAATCATGAAGGACAGCTACAGCCTACATTAGTACACATCCTCTTAAACAGCTACATCAGCAAAAGCACATGAAATAAAGGAAGCAATAGGGGCATTCCACGTCAAATCAAACACCGAAATCCGTCATCCCCTTCGATTTTTCTGAAAATTTGTAGGCAGACTGGGCATGGTTCAAAACTGAGTTACGTGTAATATTTTCGAAATTTGATAACGTATCGCCGAGATATACGTCATCAAATATAGCCAAAAATGCCACACATCATTTTTTTAAATGCTTATAACTCTGGTTCCTTTTCTGGTATCAAAATGATATTAACAGGGTCTTGTAGGCAATTGATAAGGCTTTGATTTTTAATTATAAAATTAAATTGAAGTGACCTTGAAATGCATTTGAACTTGAATTAAAACAGAAAAATTTAAATAGCAAAAAACACGCCACCTTCGATTTGAGTAATTTTTACATATTATGTCCGTCACAATGTTCCTAACCATCTGTGAAAAAATTGGAGTGGGCCATTCATAACTTTCGCGGCAAACGCCGTTTTCATGCATCAACATCACGCAACCGCGCGTGACCTTGAAAGACAGAGTCAAGACATGCTTGCTTGTGTACACTTTCTGAAATGAATGATTGCTGATTAGTGATATCCCAAACTCTGCGAGAATGGAAATGCATAGTCATTGTAGTCAAGCATTCACGTTCCATTGTAAAAGTGTCTCAGGCAAACGGTATTTTGCGGTGAATTTTGAGCCGTGTGGAAATGCATCATGAAATAAATTCAACGAAAACATTATCACGCAACGATATCTTCACGTCTTTTGATCTTCACTATACGAAAGAACATACATTTTTGAGTATGTATGGGGAATTTCTAGTTAATCCGATAATAAATATGGCAGTTAGAGTCCTGCTAAGAGTAACATGTCGCCGGCTGAGGCGGGATCGGCCGACGCGGGAAACGCAGCAGTCACAATTTTGTGTTTACACTTTCATATTTCAATTGTTTACCAACCTATTTTCAGAATTCTTTCACCATAAGATTGCCTGTACATTTCTTAGTCTTCTCACAAAATTTGACGCGAATCGAACGTAATCAGCGGTAAGGAGCGCGATGTAAAGACGGAACCGTTCCGTTCCGTCCCGGCACAGTCTACAATTCAGGCGGCGCGTAGCGGTCGGCGCCGGCTGCCGAGTCGCCGCGTCGCCGCGGCGACAGGATGTTCACTTTACACCGCTATTACTAGAACAGTTGTGAACCGATTTTCTTATTGCTTGCACGATGAGATGTGCAATTAAATTCTGGACAGGTAGCCATAAGTAATTTCGCATCAATATTATGAGATACTGGCGAAAAACAGGAGGGGTGGGGCGAAATTCACTCTTCCCCCTCCACTGCGCGTGCTAACATACGTTTGCATATGTGCCATTTTCTTCAAAACTTATGAATGGCCCACTCTAATTTTTTCACAGGTTGTTAAGAATATGGTAGGCAATAAAATATATGAAAATGAGCCAAATCGAAGGTGGCGTGTTTTTTGCTATTTCAATTTTTGTGCTTAAGAACAGAGTTAAGCAAATTTCAAGGTCATATATTTAAGTCGATGCAATTCTAAACAAATGCTTAAGAAATTACCTAAACAGTAAGGTTTATTTCATTCAAATCAAACAAGTACAACCAAAGTTATGGTCGTTCAAAAATATAAAGATGCAACATTTTGTAGAAATTTGATGCCCTATATTTAGAAGACCTGTGGTCAGAATGTGCAAAAAAACATCAATGTAATGTCCGGGGCGACACAGGAACTCGCTCACAAATTTATAATGAAATCGCTGATGGTAAGGTGCAAAACAGCCGATTTTTGTTCGATTTGACGTGGAATGCCCCAATAGCGACAAAATAAAAAAAGAATAAAGTATACGCTACCTGTTGCGCGGCTACGAAGTACAAGCCGTATGACCCGCCTGTGCTGTTGGCGGTAATTGCCCAGCTCAGGAGCCGCTATGACTCGCTCGCTACGGCGGCGGCTACTCGACTCTACTCGACTCTACTCACCTCGGCAGAGTGGCCAATGCCGCCGCTCTGCCGCTGTCACTGCTACTGGGCTACTACACTACACCGCCCGGGCGACCGGCCCGCTGCCGCGCGGCTACCGGCCAACTACACTGCCCGGTCGACTGGCCCGGCGGGCCCGCTGACTTCTAAGCCACTACACTACACCGCCCGGTCGACCGGCCCGGCGGGCTCGCTGACTGTCCAGCACCGCGCAACTTCTGGGCCACTACACTACACCGCCCGGGCGACTGGCCTGGCGGGCTCTTTAGCTGGCGGCGTGTCCACTCTCCAGACCAGCTAACCACAGCCACTGGACGTGACCGAGTCACTAATATGGCGCCCGGCTACGACCGAGCCCGTCTAGTGTCCATGTGCTCTGGGCTGCAGCTCGGACCGCCGCGGGGCGGCCGGTACCTACCGTGTCGGTGGCGCGATACCCTGTACCTGTACCTGAGGTCGCGGTTCCACTTGTCGATCTTCATCTTACAGCGCACCCAGAGGTCGTCGCGTGCAAACTGGTCCTCGCGGTCCACCTTGCTCACGTGGAACACGATCGACTTGATGAGGTCCATCTTCTCCCGGTCAAAGATCTGCCGAGCACAAATACACAGAGTGGTGAAGGCAACATTACGGGAAGCCACCTACTGAGCGTCCGCTCAATGGCATGTGGCTAGTAACATGTTAGCGCTAGCTTACATTTAGGTTATTCGGTGACGCCCCAGGCTTTTAACTATGCACAAACAAGCGCGTTACATCCAATCAACTGGCACCACAGCAAGTTTTCGTCGCCATAACGCCTCTAACAAAACACCTAACGGCTAACAGTGAACCTTGACTATCGACAATCCTTGGAACATGAAAATATATACAAACATTGGAACTTGAGCTTGAAAAATAAATGACAACCGAACATAAATTAAAACACTCAGACAACACAGTGTGAATCAATATACTTAAGTACATGGTCAATAGTACCTACATGGTTTGCGTGTTTCGCCTGGACACGGTCACTAAACAAACAACTGATAATCCGAGCTGCAATCGTCGCTGACGCATCTAGTTAGCTGTCGATCTGCTGTTGTTTGTTAATTGGGGCTTATAGACACGCCGGCCACTCATCAATGACGTCAGTCCGCCATCAGCTGCCGTTCCAGTTTCCATCAGGGCAGTGGCGGCTGGCAGCTGCATCGCGTGCCGCCTGCACACGGCTCACGTCACGAACCGGTTAGTGACTGGTCCGGCGCCGACGCGGCCCCCGCCGGCGGCGACAGCGCGTGCGACGGACACTGCGGCGGCTCTCCCTGCCCGTCTCAGTGACCTTGACACTAAACCGGGCCGAGCGGGCGGCGGGCACCGCGCGAGCGCCGCTGAAAAGGCCGGCGGCGGCGGCGCAGATCGGCCGTCGGCCGCCGCCGGCCGGGAAGCACGCTCCGACGACGCGTCACACACACTGCGCCGCGGCGACACACTGAGCAGGGGACCGGGCCCGCGCCGAGCACCGCGGCGACACACCGAGCTGGGGACCGGAGCGCCGTCTCGTCACTGTGGCCGCACCGATCACCGCGGTGGTACACTGAGCAGGGGACCGGAGCGCCGTCTCGTCTGGGGCCGCACCGATCACCGCGGTGGTACACTGAGCAGGGGACCGGAGCGCCATATAGTCTGGGGCCGCGCCGACCACCGCGGCGGTACACCGAGCAAAGGACCGGGGCGCCGTCTCTGGGCTCGCGCCGACAGCAGCAGCTGCGCCGAGGGAGCACGGTCTGACAACCTCATTGAGAATCGAAAGGACTTGAAGTGCGGGGCGCCGCCTCACCTGTTTCCCGTGGTCGCCGGTCGTGTTGGAGTTGATGCGCTCCTCCTCGGTGAAGAGGTTCTTCATCAGTTTGGCGGCCAGCGTCGGCACGTCCAGCATATTGCCCATGGCCTCCATCACCTGTGACACCGGCAGAGCGGCGTCAGGGACTGGGGACTGACAGGAGCGGACCTCTGTCTCCTGGGAGAGAGTAGCGTCAGCTGGGACTGGGAACCTCTGTCCACTGGGGAGGGATTAGTCAGGGACTGACGGGATCTCTGTCCACTGGGAGAGATTAGTCAGGGACTGGGGACCTCTGTCCACTGGGAGAGATTAGTCAGGGATTGACGGGACCTCTGTCCACTGGGAGAGATTAGTCAGGGACTGGAGACCTCTGTCCACTGGGAGAGATTAGTCAGGGACTGACGGGACCTCTGTCCACTGAGGGAGATTAGTCAGGGACTGACGGGATCTCTGTCCACTGAGGGAGATTAGTCGGGGACTGACGGGACCTCTGTCCACTGGGGGAGCGGCGTCAGGGACTGGGGACCTTTGTCCACTGGGAGAGATTAGTCAGGGACTGACGGGATCTCTGTCCACTGGGGTAAGAGGACCGCTCCAGCCTGAGGCAGTCGACGGGCCGGCTGCTGAGCGGTCACGCGAGGCACTCAAGCATAATCTATAATAGAGCTAAATAACGGCTGCAGAACAAAATAATTGACCGCGCAATTGAACCCTCATACCAACTACACTGTTAAGTTTAGCCCACTTTTAGTGATGACAGTGGGATAAATAACCATGTCACCCCTTTCTCTTCCCACAGAACATTGATATCTCACATTGATCATTCAGCACCGACGCCGCCTAGCGGAGGGGCGTCATGAGTCATCTAATGCCGGGTATTCCCCTGTTACACCATCCCGCGCCGGGACACTGGCGGTGCGCACTGAGCCGGCCCCTGACGGGGGAAGGTCGGCCCCGCTCCCCGGACACAGACTACCTTCTCCTCCGGCAGCAGACTGCTCCAGCGCGGGTCCTTCCAGGGTGCGTTCTCGGTGCCACACGAGTCCATCAGTGTGCTGGCGGCTGCCTCCGAGGCCGACTGGACAGTCAGCGGCACTGGCGGGCCGGTCAGGGGAGGTGGTCAGGAGAGGCACACGGGCGGGGACGGCTGAACCGGCGGGCCGCGGACGGTCCACTCCCGAAACACACACCGATTGAGGGTGGACCTTACGTCATATGGGCATTCCTTTTAGGCACCGATAATTGTGAATCAAAGTTCACTTGTGTAGTTCACTTGGTTGTTGATAAAATAGACGCACAATGACACATTAATCTTTGCTAGCACAATCTGAACAAATAGGGAAATAAAGTAGGCAAGCCCTTTTTAATGCAATGCTTCTGGCTCAATTTTTTTAAGCAATCATAAGGATGACCGCAACATAACTTATTTGATATAACAATGTCACAGCAACAACAATGCATGTGAAAGGGATCAGCCAAACACTAATCATGCACCTAAAGCAAACTCAAGTTCAAGTGCATTGGCAACTAAACTCTATAAGCATACATGTATGACCAAAACGAAGAAAAAAAATATGAACGTGCATACACATCCAATCACGGTACGAAAACTGGAGGAAAATAAAGAAGGCAGAAGTTAATGTAACTCAGTAAAACGCACACACTGTAAGTCAGAACTCAGGAGCTCAATGCGCAACATCCGCGTCTCATAGTATTCTGTAAACTAGCATGCACAATCTCGACAGGCAGTCTTACTTCACACGACTATCGGGAGAGCTGAAAAACAGAGTATTGCTGGTCAGAGACTTTCTCGGTTCATTACAGCCGCACTGGTATCCAGAAGTCCCGCAGGATAACGGTCACCACCACCTCTCACTGGATATGGTACATTCGCTGCAGCTGGAAACGGGACTTTTCAGTCAGGAAAGTAGAGCACACATGACATACCCTTCCTACATCGTGAAATATCGTACAAGCTGCCAGGAGCTGCTGCTGCAGCTCCATGAAGGTCAAACGGACCTTTTTAGCGGATCAATATCCTATGATGCAACAAGCGTGATGGACCGGTATGTCAATTTAACCTTCCAAGATCGATCAGAATCCCAGACCCCGCCTGATGCCAGTGGCGTTCCTCGGGAGTCGTACCTCCCCCAGCCTCCCGCCGCTGCTACCCAGCCTCCCCACCTCCCTCAGGGCCGCCCGCGTCGCTCATCTAACGCCTCCAGCCTCCCGCCGCTACCCCCAGCCTCCCCACCTCCCTCAGTGTCGCCCCCGTCCGCTCACCTGCCGGCGGCGATGTGTCGCGCCGCTCCGGCTCGGTCGGCGCCGGCGGCGGGCCGTCCTGCGTCGTCTCGCCGCTGACTAGCTCGATGTCCTCCTCGAGCCGGCGCTGGGCGCTCAGAGCCGAGTCCTCCCCCTCCTCCTCCCCGTCCTCCTCCGGCGCCTCCGGCTCCTCATCGTCCCCGCTGACCGGCTCCGGCTTCGGGGACACCATCGCCTCCTGGGACACGAGCAATGACGGGTTACTGGACGCCATATACATGCTAACGACCAATTCGCTTAAAAAGTCGGTCATTTTTCCGAAATATCCATAGCGATGGCTGAAGTAAATGTAGGTAAAAAAACATTTATCATTATGCAGTGCATAATGTATACATCGCACGCACCACGACAATGACTGGTCAGCTGTCACTGCGGTCCGGTACTCACTAATAGTAAAGTAATCTTATTGCTCACCTCCTGTTCGGGCTGTTCGGGCTGCTCCGCCGGCTGCTCGGCCGGCTCCTCCATCGGCTCCTCCGCCGGCTCCACCTTCAGCTGCAGCGGCTCCGGCTCCGGCTGCTCCGGCTCCGGCTCGGCGTGCGCTGGAGCGCGCGACTTTCGCCGCTTGGCCGACTCGCGTGGCGGTGTGCCGGGCTCGTCTCGCTCGTGGGCCGGCTCCGGCGAGCGGCGCTTGGTGGGCGCGGCCGGGGCCGGCGCCCAGGCCGTGGAGCCGGCGGCGGCGGCGGCGGGGGCCGGCCGCGCCGCCGGCGTCACCGCACTGGCCGCCGCCGCCGCCGGGATCAGCGGCGGGATCGGCGCCACGTCCGTGCCCGTCGGCTCGCGGCCGTGGCTGTCATGCTCGGGCGACGCCGCCGACTTTGGCTTGCCGCTAGTCTCCGTCAGACCTTTGATACGCAGCGTCTCGGCCACCTGACACCGGGGACGAGCACGCGTGTCACCGCAGCGAACGGAGCAAAGTACAGCACCAGTTAACACTGAACAGTTATGAAGCAAAATGATCCCTAAATTGCATAAATCATAAAACACTTACAGAATTCATCAAATAAACAAAAACACCGCGCATATGAAGTCTCGGGCGAATACACACAGTTCAAGGTTCCAGTCGCAACCAAAGTGCAGGATCAGCACTCAGTAGTGCAGTTCATGTTCCAACAGTCCAATCTTAAGTAAGTCTAAGAAGCTAACACCCTCCCCTTCCCTGCCGCCTGTCCTGTGCAGCGTGCGCTCACCTTGAGAAAGCACTGTAGCTGGTTCTGCGGCAGCCGGATCTCGCCGCTGTACATGAACTTGATGAGCGCCTGCGCCACCGAGTGCGGGATGTCGTGCAGGATGATGATGGGGTGCGAGTGCGGGTGCGCCGTCAGCAGCGTCTCGAAGTAGGTGGAGCACGCCGACAGCACCAGCCGGTGGCACTGCAGCTGCCGGTTCTCCACCGACAGCGTCACGTCAGCGAACGCGCAGTCGTCCAGCAGTCGCCGGAACACGTCCTGGATCGTGCTCGAGAAACTGTGCCACTTGAGCACGTACTCGCGCTCCGTGCCCATGACGACCACACGTCTCGCCTGCCGGAGTCGGACGGAGCGGGTCAGGGCGGGTCCTCGGACCGGCGACACCACGGACTCGGCGCCGATCACCGCCCAGCCGCGACAGACAGAGGTCGCGGTCCGTCCCGTAGCGGACTCACGGTGGCGATAGCCTGGGTTCGAGCCGCTCCGACGGTCTGGACTGAAACCGACGGATGTAATGGTTCTGGACTGAAACAATGTCTCCTCGGTAGCATCCATCACTTATTGAAGCTAACTTCATGATAAGGGGAGAAGGCAGACCAGGACCCACTGCCTAGCGGCTAGCCCCATTACCAGTAAATCTAAAAAAGGATCAACATTAGTCTAGATATGTAGACTATCTAGCTTATCTAGGTCCTCTTGATGATGAAAGGTTATTCGAATTGTGTACTCAAAAGCTACAGAGCAGAATTATTTACTGCAACATTTAGGCTTCAAAAAAATTTACATTCACAAACATTTAGAAAACGTTTAGTCTGAAAACATAGTTTCATACCATTTTTCATACTATTTTCATACGATTTCATAGTCATTGGAAAAATAGCTTCAAATGCATAGTGAAAACAGCATGCTGCAAATGCTGACTGGTGGTGCATAGCTGGTGCATGCGATTAGATCATACAACATTAGAAGCATCATAGGGTATATTTGTCCCATATATTGTACTACCAACCAGCCACACATACCTATTTCATCTTTAAATTAATGGACAGGCTGCTACAAACAAACTAATTTGTTAATTAACCCGCGCCCCGTTGGGCTCTGCCGAGCAACGCGCCCGGTTGGGGGGGGGGGGCATTTTGGCCCCCCCCCTAAGATCTCGAGAACCACGCAACATAGCGACAAGCGGTAAACGGCGTTGGATAGCCCCAACGGGGAACTACCTTGTGACCCAATTTTATTGACCTAGGTCAAACCGATGACGTCACAGGTCAGGTCAAAGGTCCAATTTTCACCGTTTACAGGCACTTCAAGAAATGCGTTGTAAAATCGAGTAAAATGCACAACATTGAAAATCATCGATGGGGAAATGTTCTTCAAACACATATTTTGCTATTTGAGGTCACTGATACCAGGTCAGGTCACAGAGGTCAGGTCACGGGGGGGTCACAATATGAAAGTGTCGTGTGATACATGTTTTATTATCCATTTTACATGACAAATGCGATTATATGGGTCAGGCAGCCTTTGGGGCCAGCTTAGATCACGTTTTGGTCAAGGTCAGGTCAAGGTCAGGTCAAGGTCAGGTCAAATTAGGTCAAATTTCAAAGTTAATATTTTTGCATAAAATGGGTATCGAATCGATGCAGCTCGTCACGGGGAGTTCAATGGTGGTCTTTGTTTTGCCGTACGTGGTCTAGAATTGCTAAAAATTGAGTTCAAAAATTTGATGTCATCATTTTTGAACAGTTTTTTCGCTATAACTTGGCCAAAAAACGAGATATCGATCTGAAATTTGGTATGTATATAGAAGAGCGCTGGGACTATTACATATATTCCGGTTTTTTCGAAATTCGGAAAATTTTTGGATTTTTTCAAAGTTTTTCTAAAAAAATCAATTTTTTGATTTTTTTTTGTCAAAAAGCAAAAATTTTGAAAATCCGAGATAGCAGTTTTGTAGCGCCGCTTTTTGTCTACTAGACCATATAAAGAACTTTGAAATTGCTTGATAACTGTAGATTTGGTGAGCGTTTCAAGATTGCATGTTTTTTGCTCATTTTTGCTCGAACATGACCTCAGTTTGACCTCAATAACTCCTGACCTAAGGTGACCTAAGACTTGAAATTTGGTGTGAAGGTGTCAAATTGATGCCCGGGAAGGTACTGAAAATTTGGCGGCGCTGCGCGCCGCCGTTTTCTTGCTATTCAGGAAAAACCACAGGGGGGGGGGGCCAAAATGGCCCCCCCAACGGGGCGAGGGTTAATCTCTTGCTATACAAAGAGTATCTACTATCTACCATTCATAACCTAGAGAATTAGGATTTGGTATAACTAGTGGACTGTGGAGCTTCTTAAGAACATCCATATCCATTACATCAGGGGAGAATACAAAGCATTAGCAAAGAACAATTCAGCTTTTGCGACAAATATCATTTTAGAAGAAATAATCACAGCCTTGTTAGTAAGTCACACTTTACTGTAGTTCAGTATTAGCTCTACAGAATTACAGACACATCTCATCTGAATCAACTAGAAGGCTTTTATCCCACGCCCGTATGGGGGGGGGGGGGGGGTCGAACGGACCCCCTCGGTTTTTCGCGAATAACTCGCGTAAAAAGCGGCCGATCGCGACGAAACTTTCAGTACCCTCGCGTTATTCAATTTCACACCTAGCCTGAAAATTGTATGACCCTGACCCAAATGACCTTTGAGCTGTGACCTACTTTTCGAGACCATGCTTGGCCGGAATCGCGATTCGGCGTATGTCGGCTCGCATTAGCCGCGTGTTTGCAGTCTTTTCGTGGTTTCAAGCGTTGAAACATGAGACATGATGCTGCTCCAATGCATTATGGTGGGTGTCAAGGTCACCAGAAGGCCAGGTCAGGTCACTGACCTTTGATGACCTTGGTTCACTTTTTCGAGTTTTACATGTTTCTAGGCTAGTTTTTGGAGCTGAATTCGAATTTAGCAACCATTCTAATATTTGTAAAGTAGTTTTGGTGCCTTTGTAACAAGTTACGAAGCTGTTAGAGGTGGTTGACACATACTATGAATACCAAACAGGACCCCTACTGGTTGACCTGGCATGACCTGACCTGACCTAAATGCATGAAGACATCATCTGTGATCAAAACTAACATGATATTCGTGATCAGCACCTCGAAAAACCAGCAGCCACACTTTATGACATTCTAACAGGTCCCGATTTTCCCGACTTTTGGGTCATTGACATGAGTTGGAAGGTCAACAGATGGCCTACAGGGTGTTTCATAATGAGTGTTCATTTTAAATGTACCATTGGAGGATCTTAAATAAAACAATGATCGAAAATTTTATATGAGCATTGTTGCAAAAAGATTGAACCCAGCCTCCTGCCATTCCCAATTCACATGGTTAATGCAGTTGAATGAGTGGCTGAGATGTGTCAGCAATTAACTTTGATGCAAATTAGAATACTGACAGCATGCTGAAAAAATACAGACAGGAAACATTGAACAGCAGGTAAATGTGTGGATGAAGAATGGTGAAGATAAAAACAGTCTAAGCTGACATAACCTTACCTACTGACCTACAACCTAAAAACCTACAAATCTACAACTTACCAACCTAAAACCTAAAAGTAAACCCACCAAACTACAATGTACCAACTAACAAAACAATACTTCATCTACACATATGCTGAACAGGGTCCCCAGACCCCACTTTATTGCTTAGACTGCAAGCTGAAAGCACTATAGTGCCATCAACTAAAATTCATTACCAAAGAATTCATTACTAAAACCTAAAACCCACCAACCTACAACATACCAACTTTCAAACAGTACTTAGTCTACACATATACTTAACAGCATCCCCACTTTGTAGCTTAGACTGTAAGCTGAAAGCACTGGGGTGTCATCAACTAAAATTTATTTCCAATGAATAGAAAATAAACAAAAATGAGCAGCTTCACTATGATCTCATGGCCCCTGACATTACTAATTTGGAATTAGGAGTTGGCCAAACAGCAATATTGAAAAGTTGAATGCAGCTTGCAAGAACACTGAAAGAAAATGATGAATGCAAAATTATGCAACAACGTACCAACTTACGAACAGTACTTCATCTACACACATTGACATAGGTACCAAACAGCGTCCCCACTTTGTAACTTAGACTGTAAGCTGAAAGCACTGGAGTGTCATCAACTAAAATTCATTACCAATGAAAAGAAAATAAACAAAAATGAGCAGCTTCGCTATGATCTCATGGTCCCTGACATTACTAACGTGGAATTAGGAGTTGGCCAAACAGCAATATCGAAAAGTTGAATGCAGCTTGCAGAAGACTGAAAGAAAATGATGAATGCAAAATCATACAAAAATCGAATGATCAAACTACGAATGTGTCCACGATTGATTATTAAACAAGCCTGAAAGCATATAAGATTGTGACAAAGGAATCCTTCTGAATACTTATCTCGCGCAGGTGAGACAATTAAGGCGAAGGTTTAATATCAAACTTCTGGCAATTGACCTATCATTTCCACACCTTACCTCGTAAGTTGAAGAAATGTGAAAAAAGAAACAAGCTTCCGTTTAGGTATACACCATTCTTGCGAGACACGGCATGTTTGGGTCGTCAGACGCAACCAACCATCGACAATCACACGGATTCCAACCTGTTGATTAATCGCTTACCTTGAGGTGAAACATTCCAAAATGGTGTTCTATGTCTGAAAAGTAAATTTGTATAATTAAATTGATATATATGCCTTTTCAACAACTGCTTAGATATTTTAAAATGTCATTTTAGATGTAATATTTATCAGTAATTTGTTTAATCATGAAAGAAGTGAAAAGTTTTGTGACAAATATTTACTTAAAAATTGTTGTATGTTGTCCATTTCATTTTTTCATCTCTAATTCGAGTTTAATAATGAAAATTAACAATTTTGTTATACTTGTTTGATCATTCAAAATATATCAGCATTTCTTTGTCGCAAAAAAAGAGAAAGTAACTTAGCAGAGTAGTAAAGTAATCTTGGCTTAGTTCGACTCCACTAACGAGCCTACTGCCCTCTATCGACGATCTCAAATACCTAAGGTTTTAGGCCTGCTCCATAGAGGCTCTGAAATGGGTCCGCTGTCGAGCCGAGCGGGCGCGCACTCGTGGAGCGGCGGACGGCTGTGTTTTCGAGGCGGCGTTGAGGTGTGGACGCGCCCGTGTGGTGGAACCTGACTTGTGGAGTGTAGTTGCCGGAGAGGAAAAGGGCGTAGTGCGGGACATAAGCTTGCCCATTTGTGGACGGCGTGGCCTTGCTGTTGGAATTGTCCGAGTGAAATAAGAAATTAGTGAGCGTGATCGCAGTTTGTTGTCAGCGCATCAGATTTCAGAACCCGCACAAGGATGGCTCTCAACGACTGCTGCCGCTGCGTGAAGTTTTTCTTCGTGCTGATAAACCTTCTTATAACGGTAGGTGAAAGTCGTGTGGATTATGGCAATTTGACTTGTGACTATATCGCCCCCCGGAACCCTCGACGGGTGCCCCGTTTCGGCCTCGGTCTGTTCCGGGCCCCGGCGGTGAACTGTGAGAGGTCCAGCTGATCTGGGTCCATGGGTGTATTCACGAGCCACGAAGACTGGAATGGATCGGATCCGCTCAGCTCGGTACCAGCGTCGAAGGCGAAGAAGGCAGGGATCACCTTGTTCCTCCACTGAATGTCAGGCTGGGTCCTTTTTGCAACATCATTATAAACGAACACGTCATACGTCCACTAACCCCTGTCGAGGTCAATAGATTACTATAATTGAACATTCCCCCAGACTCTATTTGGGGACATCCCTGTCTGGTGATACGTAACTTCGAATTGGACCCAAGGAGGCGGGAGCTAAAAATTCATCAAATACGTTTAGACTTTAGAGCTTCAGCTTTGAAGGGAGTAACGACTTTCTGGCCCGGTCGGCGGCCTGGCGCAGAACCTGTATTTTGCTTTTGAATCGTAAGTGGAAACGGAAAATATTCCTACACATTTAAAACGGCTAGGTTATAACACGACTCCAAGTTGGGCTGGATCGCTGGCTGTTTGCACTAAGCATCCATGCTCAATGCTCATTCGTCAGTACGCCGTGATGGGGCGTGTTTCCGCCGCCCGGTCGTGTACTAAGTTGCTGCAACGACTGCTGTCGAAAGGCTCCAATTGGGCAGTCCTAGCTTTGTTCAGCTCATGCAATGCGAGCTGCCGCCCAAACTGGGTTATCGACCCTGTTTGTTTGCCTTTAATAAATCGGTGCTTTGTATCCTCTTTTAATTGCGCGATTTGATTACTGATAGATTTATGAAATGTTGGAATTTTATTCATTCATTCATTCATTCATTCATTCATTCATTCATTCATTCATTCATTCATTCATTCATTCATTCATTCATTCATTCATTCATTCATTCATGCATTCATTCATTCATTCATTCATTCAGAGGCCTGAATGGAATTTGATCTTGTGATCTTGTTTCTTGTGATGGTCTCAACACGAATGCAATATTGGGTTTCTTCGTTCCAATAGTTTCTAGCTAGGATCAGAGTATTTTACAGTGTGTGTACTTGTCATCCCAGACCCGGTGCTGCTCGAGGTCCGCTCCTGGCTCCGCCTGTCTCCGAGTGCCGCCGAGCTCAGCCCGTTCCGTCACCGGCTGGCTGTGTGACTGGCAGGGTCGCGTCACCCGGGACCAGGACCGCGCTGCCGAGCGGCCGTCCCGTCCCGTCCCGTCCCGCCGCTCTGTTTATTGATACGGCCCGTATGGCTGACGGCTCTGCCGGCTCTGGTGGCTGGGGCTCCGGCAGACGGCACGACACGGAGCCGTAGCTGAACCAAATTCGAGCCCTCCACAGTTGATTGGTACGGGACACCCAGCGCCTTTTCGATATTCGTTCGCGTTTTGCTGCGAAGCGAAAGTTTTGACGATTTTCACTTTCAGTCGGCACCTGTGTCACCTGTGTCATTTAGTGACCCTCCCGACGTCTGTGTCACCTGTGTCATTTACCCGTCCGACGTCTGTGTCATCCATGATCCACCCTCCCTTTCTGTGTCAGTGCAGCGGTCACCGCGATAGTCCGGTGTCTGCTGCAGCCGCCGCGCTGGTCCGGTGACGCTCACCGCTGAGAGGCGGCCCCAGCTTCCCCGGCCTCGGCCTCGTCCCACGCACCGGTGCCGTGACGGAGTATGGCCGGCGCTCCATCAAACCCACCCAGCCTCCATTAGCTGCGCGCTCATAAGCCGCGCGCTGGTTACACCAGCCGGGAACTGGGCCGGTACCTAGGTGGACGATGACCGTCCGGCCGCTCCCGCGGCTGTTCCGCTGGCATCGCTCGCTGCCGCTGACATTTGTCAATTTGTGGCAACGACGCGCACCAACCGCGGCTGGGCGCTGCATGGTGTAGCGAAACTGAGCGGCTCATATTAAATACCAAGGTATGTTTGGAAATGAATAAGGGAAGACCATGGAGCTTGTGTATCATCACGGTGGTGCTGGCTTGGTGGCGCACATGGGGTGCTCTTGATGGGTGCGCGCCGCTATACCTGGCGTCATGGACCCAGGGTTCTCTGTCACACCTGGGAACCTGAGGTGGTTTAGCAATGAGCAGGCTTGTCGCAGTCTGGCTCCCCAACCGCGGGGTGCCTGGTTAGCCAGACACCAACTCGTTCCACAATGAAACGAACGAGGAGCAAATTCACTGAGGCTGAGACCCTGCTCCGGGTTGAAGGAAGCGGCTTCTTTCTGCTCACCAAACCCAGTGGTTTTTGGTCGCGATATAGTTAATCAACCTAAACTGCATTTTTAGACGCTGTTTAGGTGAGCATATGCCATCATTGATTCAGTGCTTTGGTGTGCTTTGGTGGCATTGTTACCGAGTGGCTGCAATGAAACGTTAATGTGTACGGGGCTAAATAATACTCGTAGATTCGGCAGACGCCCTTGTGCCTCGACAACTTCCACGGAGTCGGAATAGTCGAGCAGGAAGTTTCCTTGGTTTAGCTGTCGTATGAAACACCATCTTTCACAACATTCCTGGGCCGTTTGACCTAAGCTTTTTACTCTAATTAGCGTTGCTGTAGTGTGCGCTCAGTTGTATTGATCTCGAGAATGGCCTGTGGTGTATTGGAAACCTACTTATTTGGTCCTGGTATTGATGCTGAGTAGGTTTATCTTATTGTGGCTGCCGGGCATAAGTGTAGTTAGTGGTTGACGTGCTGCTTATTATGCTAATGGGGGATACTGATGATGTCGTATTGATGTAAGCCTTTCGTGTTGATTGTTTGCATGGACGGATCATCCGCCCAGTATTGCTCCTTTGATCTAGGTAAAGCTTCACGTAAACGTAATTTATTCCATTCGTAATGCATGCTATGTCGGGTCTCCACCGACAGATCAAACGATGCACTTAGAGACGCTTATTTTCCGATGTTGTCTAGCGACAGTGTCAACATGTTGGCTGTCGTGGCTGCTATCTCTCCTGGGGTCTCTTACTGAAGCGTTGGCAAGCCGCCGCTCCAGCCTATACCAGGCTTCCGGCCGACCGGAGCCGGCCGGCTGCCCGCAAAACCGGCCAGCTGACGCACTCGGCCGTCAAACGCGAATCGGCTGCAAATCTTCATCAGCGTCTCATTGATCACGCCGAGTGGACTGTGGACGGGCGTTGGCGGCCACTCCTCTGATATCGACTGGACACGAGCGCAAAGGATCCGGCTCTCGCGCTGGCTCAGTCAGCTCAGTCACTGGAGCCTGGAAGAGATCATCAGTTCGACAGCTCCAGGCCCGTCGATAAGCGAACGCTGGCTGCAGAGTTTCAGCTCTGCTAGTATCACTAGCACGAGCTGGTGTCATTAGTCGCGTCCGCTGGCCGTGTCGGTCGATGTCTCGGACGATCGGTCTCTACTGACCAGTGACCGGACCATGATATTCCCATCGTCTGTAACGATCCCACCCTTGAGCGATAGAGCCTAATCTACCTGCGCCGCGCCGCTAAGAGATCTCGGAACTGCAGGGCCGGCTGTCCAGATCCCCAGCTCCGTCCCCGCCGCCAGCCTCCGACCTAGTGATCACTGCGGGCTGTCCTGTCCAGATCCCCAGCTCCGTTCCCCGCCTCCAGCCTCCGACCCAGAGTGTACCGCGGGCTGTCCTGTCCAGATCCCCAGAACTGTCCTCGCCGCCAGCCTCCGACCCAGAGTGTACCGCGGGCTGTCCTGTCCAGATCCCCAGCCCTGTCCCCCACTGCCATCCTCCGACCTAGGGTGTACCGCGGGCTGTCCTGTCCAGATTCCCAGCTGTATCCCTCGCCGCCAGTCTCCGACCCAGAGTGTACCGCGGGCTGTCCTGTCCAGATTCCCAGCTGTATCCCTCGCCGCCAGCCTCCGACCCAGAGTGTACCGTCCGCGGGCTGTCCTGTCCAGATCCCCAGCTCCGTACCCGCCGCCAGCCTCCGACCCAGAGTGTACCGCGGGCTGTCCTGTCCAGATCCCAAGCCCTGTTCCACGCCGCCAGACTCCGACCCAGTGAGCGCCGCCGACCGGCCGGCGAGCGGCGCCGAGCGCCCGGCGGCGCCCCGGCGGCCGTGGCTATTTCAGGCGCTCGTGCTCGGTGCGCGCCGACAGCCTGCCGGCCGGCTATTGATTGGTGGCCCGTAATGGCGTTCGAGGCAGCGCCGTTTTTGCCCTGTCGGCGGCGTGTTTGTACCGAGCCGGGCACGTGCTGCCGACAGCCTCGGACGCACGGGACGCCGCTGCGTCGCTGCTGCTCGGCCGGCGGTGATTTGAACGAGCGGGCTGTGAGGCATGGCGGTGCTCTGTGGGAACGGATTGAAATGTCCGCCGAATTAGCGGACACAGAGCGGCTTTTAATAAGTGCGCTACCTGCTGAGGGACGTCAGATGAGCGGTGATTAGAAGCGCCTTATCAAAAAGTCGGCGTTTTTGTGGATGCCACAGCCGACAGCGGTTGGAGATCGCCGACCCCTGATCACGGCTGGTAGGACCGTTTTCCTCTGCCTTCGCAGGCAGCGGGCGGATGGGCGCGTCTGGCCGACGTCAGGGCGCGGTGGCTGTTCGCGCGTCGCCGCCCATCTCGCCAGTGTTTTGGGTGCGATCGTATCGGTTCGGAGCCGCTCTGTAATCCCCGGCGGCTCCCACTCGAAGGCGGAGGTGTGGGGTGGCGCCGCACCAGCACGCGCGCGCAGATAACGTCACTGAAGCGATCGGGTGGACACGAACTACCACTAGCCCGTCCGTCAGACTCCGCTGGAGCCTGCTCATCGCTCACGCCTTGCAGCACATAATGATATCGAGTGGTGACTCAGTGCTGGCTGTAAGATGCTGCCGGGCCCGGTATTCGATGATGATGCTTCCGCATTGGGTGGTTCATTGCTGCTTTTCTGGACGGGATTAAAGCCGATGGAATTGATTCGATGATGGACACGAGCT